CTGGGTTGAATCTTTCTATCTGGGTCATTATGGACAATCTCTAAGCCTGGGTCTTATCTATAAATTAGAAATAATGCTTGTCAGGGAATTGTTTTTTAGCATCTTTTTGAAAAACCATGCTGCCCCTATTCTCAGACTTCATGGTTCCACTAGGGTTCGCCCACACCCCATTTGCATTTTGAGCATGACTGCTTATGCCTGAATAATCTCTTGCCACTTTGGGGGAAGGTATGTGGGGATCCCCATCACCCCAACAGTTGCTGAAAAGATTCCTCTCTTCTCTTCTCTTCCCTTCCCTTCCCTTCCCTTCCCTTCCCTTCCCTTCCCTTCCCTTCCCTTCCCTTCCCTTCCCTTCCCTTCCCTTCCCTTCCCTTCTCTCTCTCTCTCTCTCTCTCTCTCTCTCTCTCCCTCCCTCCCTCCCTCCCTCCCTCTCCTTCTTTCCTTCTTTCCCTCCCTCCCCACCCCTTCCTTCTTTCCTGCCTCCCTTCTTCCTTCATCTTTCTCTCTGATTGAGATTATTGAGGACCATTCAAACATGAAAAAGTCAACTAAGAGGAAAGCAAAGGTAAACAGAGTAAGTGAGGGATGCCTGGAGATACCCTGTGATCTTAAAGGTTATTTTCTGTTAGAGTACTACTATATTCCCTTACTGGCTTCAACTATTTTGAGATAGGTTTTTATCTCACCTACTACTTGGAGATTTTTTGGGTATGTGAGGAAGAAGTGAGATAATGCCCATAAAGCATTTGTGAGGCAGACAGCAAATGCTTAATAAATTTGAGCTACTTTTATGTCCAGAATGAGAGATACTTTAAACTTCACTTTCTAAGATGACTACATAAAATGTTTTTTTTTTCCCCACGGGACTCATTAAGATATCAAGGGTTTTCATTTTCAAGAAAGTCATAATCAATCATAGATGTTATAAGAGCTCAAAAACACAGAAAAAGAAAGTCTCAAAAGGCAGCAGATGATTTGACCAACAAATGAATTGAATAAAAAATAATGATTGCCCCACTGCATGGCTTAGTGGTTGAGCATCGACTTATGAACCAGGAGATTATGGTTTGATTCCCAGTCAGGGCACATGCCCAGGTTGGGGGCTCAATCCCCAGTGTGGGGCATGCAGGAGGCAGCCAATCAATGATTCTCTCTTATCATCGATGTTTCTATCTCTCTCTCTCCCTTTCCCTTCCTCTCTGAAATCAATAAAAATATATATATTTTAAAAATAATAATAACACTTAAAGTCGTCATAGGAAAGAGAGAAAAAAAAAACATCCTGAGGCTGAGATTGTCACCAAAAGGCTTCATAGATGTAGTATTTGAGCTGGGTTTTGAGAAACAGGAAAGATCTGGGAAGTTGGAGGGAAGAACAAACAATATTCCAGGAAAGGGCTATAAAAAGGATGGTGGTGCTAGGGCCCAGGACACTCTTTGACTTAAAACAGGTCTGCCAGGAGAAGCTCAATGTGGATGACAGCTCTCAAGGGCAAGTTTAATCCCATTTCACAGAAGTTGATTTACACTGAGCTCATCTAGAGGTACAAAGGAATGGCATTAGGTTGCCCATGTAATTCACACTCAGTGAAATTTTAAAAATAATAAAAGTCAGAGAAATTGTTTGAAAGATTTTTATAAGCAAATCACATATCTTTGGATATATGATATCATATAGTTTAGTTTATTTTCTTACTCCAACTGTAATTGTTCACTACTTTACTCACGTTCTGAAGCCAAACAAACGGATGCACATATATAAATAAGTTCTAAGACATAATTTAATAGATACTGTGGTTTTTTCCTAAATATTCCTTCCTCAGCATGTAAGTGCTGTGCAGTTTGAGGGAGTGAACCCAAACTCTGGGGTGGGTCCTGCCAAATTTAGGGCAACCATGGTAACCCCATCCTTGTTGCCAGAGGTTGGTTGGTGAACCAATTTACTAATCTGTAAACAGCATCCCCTGCAAACACAATCTGGATCCAGGAATGGCCATATGATGCCATGTGGGCCAGTTTGCTTCTGGAAAAAAACATTTCCTCATTGTTAAGAGAGAACCCCCTCAAAAAGATGCTCTCTACCTCAAACGCTATGGTTACCCGGAAGTGCAGATGCCATCTGATTTTAACTATAGAATGAAGCTGAAATATGGAGTTATAAAGGGCAGAGCTCAGGGAATTGCAGAGAAAAGATGCTGAAAGCACTGGACAAAGTCAACCCAATAATCTACCCTGCCTCTAAGATCTGGCTATTAGAGATATTATCTTTCTTTATCAGTAAATCGGTTAGAATTTTTTTTACAAAAACTACTCTAATTTCTTATTAAAATACTCTAATGACCCAGTATTTTTTGTATCATTTTCACATGTCTGGAATCCAACAATATATGGAATCTTATGGCCCTCAGGTCAGTCTTAGAGCCTCCAGAAGACTCCAAAAAGTAGGAATCAAGACAGATAAACACACGGAATGGAGGATCCATATGTCTTTGACAGCATCAGTACAGGTGATCCATTTCAGATAAGCCAACACTATCCTCTGAAAAGATGAAGTAGTCAGTTGTCAAAGTCACCCAGACTAGTTCAGGCATTCTTGTCAAACGAGGGCACTCCAAACTTGTACCTAACCAGGGTTCTAACAGACACAAAAATTTCAGATCCCACAACTCCGCCCTTATTCCTTCCTCCTACACAGCTGGTATGAGTTAGGGGCATATTATTCTGAAGTCATATTAGTTTAGACTTTTTTATAGATGAGGCCCAGCCTAAAAAGGGTTTTCAGAAAAAACAAATATTATTGACTCTGTGACTTTGTTTCATTGCCAAATGATGCTTGGGGTGTAAACTATAGGAGTGCAATTAATCATTTAAGCCAACTATAATATGGACTATATTAGTTTGGTAAAATGATGATAATTCTGCTAGTGTTTACTCCCTTAATTTTTTTTAAAAAAATATGTTATTATTAATTTTAGAGAGAAAGAAAGAAGGGAAAGGGAGAGAAAGAGAAAGACAAACATTGATTGGTTGCCTTCTGCACATACCCTGACCAGGGATCAAACTGCAACCTTGGCATGTGCCCTGGATGGAATTTGAACCCCAACCTTTCCTTTCAGTGCATGGGATGACACTCAACCAGCTGAGCCACACTGACCAGGGTTACCACCTCAATTTTTTAAAAATAATTTTTAAATGTTTAACCACAGAAATATATAAGCAATATCAACTTCTGAAGAAATTAAGGTGGAACAACCGGAACGACCAGTCGCTATGATGCACACTGACCACCAGGGGGCAGACGCTCAACACATGAATGTACTAACTCTAATATTTCCTCACAGGGGGAGCGCAGATCATCCAGAAGCCGGGCTCATGGCTGGCAAGTGCAGCGGTAGTGGCAGGAACTTCTCTTGCTTCTGCAGCAGCGCTAAGAAGCAGGGAGCCCAGTGGTAAGGAGCCTGCCATTAAGGAATAGTGAGCCAAGCAGTAAGGAGCGAGCAGGAGGGCAGTAAGGAGCGAGGGGTCCCAGACTGTGAGAGGGATGTCCGACTGCCAGCTCAGGCCCAATCCTTGGGGGGATCGGGCTTAAGCCAGTAGGCAGACATCCCCGAGGGGATGAGAGAGTGCAGGCCAGGCTGAGGGAACCCCCCCCCCCCCCCCCCCCGTGCAAGATTTTTGTGCATCAGGCCTCTAGTTGGTAAATAATGACCAATATAAAACAATCATGCTACAAAATAAAAGTAGAACTCTGCATAAGAGGCTGTGAAGACAGTAACGTGTAGCAGATTTGATCACCATTGGCTAAAATAGAGCCAAGTATGAATAGAAATAGAAAAAAAGACTTTTTCCACAGCATTAAGACAAAGAAATACTAAGATCAGAAAAATGTTGAATGTATCCATTATGTTGATAGCTAGAAGATGACACTCTTCCAGGGCTGAAATATGGTTCTAAATTTCTGATACACCTCATGTAGCATTAGGACAATTTTATTTATTTTTAAATCCTCACCTGAGGATATGTTTTTATTGATTTGAGAGAGAGAAGAAGGAAGCCACAGAGAGAGGGAGAGAGAGAAACATCAATGTGAAAGAGCAATATTGATCAGTTGCCTCCCGTACTCGCCCACAACCTAGATATGTACCCTGAGAGGGAATCGAACCTGCAGCCTTTTTAGTGTTATGGGACAACAGTCCAACCAACTGAGCAACCCATTTAAAGAATTTTAAATGTCTTTGTCTTTGTTTTGATATAACATTTGATATCTCAAAAGTACTGGAGGTGAACACTCTAAGCATACAAAATAGCACTGTCTGCTTAGAGCTGTAAATACTAGTGACCAAGCCAGTCGCAATGAACATGCCTAGAATTCAGAAAACAAGGCTTCTTGGATAAGTGGACAGGCTACGCACGTAGAACACCTTGACATACCAGATATCTACAAAGCTATCACAGATGACTATAGTTATGTCAAAAGTATTCAGGAGCCACCTGAAAAGGTTTCCATGTCAAAGATGAGACAATTTGAGCTTCAAAAAGATAAGAATTGTAATAGATCAAGCTCATCAAATATGCTTGAAATCATGATTTCATGATGATATTTAAAAGAAATTACTTGGATACCTTCTGAAGATGATAGGAAGCTGTTGCACCTAAGTAATCAAATACCCTCCACTCCCATGTCAGATATACCCCTGTTCTCCTCTTATTTGCTATGCAAGAGAGATAAATAGGATACAAACTACTGTTACTGAATAAACACCTATTAGCTGCAGATACTCTTCTTTGTTTAAAAAGATAATGGGGCACTCATTACACTAAAAGTGTGCTCTCTTTTATTTGCAGATCCTATCAGAATGAGTGAAAGAATGTACTAACTCTAATATTTCCTTCCTTTGCCCATCAAACCACCTCCTTCCCAACCTGAGAAACTGTTCGCAGCGTATAATGTCACCAACCCTTTCAAACCTGGACAAAGGATATTCTTCTGCGGTGTTTACCTTTAGTGCAGTTTGGTCACAGCTACATCTTAAAAGCTCACTATAATCCCATCTGTGAAGGTCGACTGCGCAGTAAAACCCAACAACAGCAAGGTCCATGGACGTCTATATAAATGGGTGTATCAATAAATACAAGGAACATGCTTATTGTTTTTAATGAAAGCCATTCATTACACTCCTTGCTATAGTTTCACCACCCATTATGAGCGGTGTTTCATATTTCAAAGGCATTCTCAACAAGTGGAATACACCAATACTGGATATAACCAATATTACTGATATTAATTAATATCTGGTTCTCCTACCTATTTTACATCCCAATGAAATTAACAGTGATCATGTGATTAGTCCTACCAAAAAAAACCCCACAAAACAAACAAACAAAAAACACACAAATAGAAGTGCTGTTTGTCACTTGGGTAAGAAAAGTATTTAATGGCTAGTGCTCCACTCCGCAGACCTGTCTTGCCTGGCCTGGAAGTGGATGTCATTGGAGCTATCCTGAATTCAGAGTCTGGAAAGCTAAACCAGCATAGGGAGGATAGCTGACCTGCTGCATCACTTGAACTCACAACAGAGTGTATAAATGAGATATTAGGGCTGTTTACAATAGCAGCATAACTTCTTCCAACCCAAATGATGTGCTAGAATTCTGCATTTTCTCAAGAATATTTTCCACAGAGATCTAATAAAACTACACACATATATTGATGTATTGAGGCCAACCAAATTAGTTAGACTATAGAAATGTAAGAAATTAGAATTAGTATTTGCAGGATTGTGAATTGTTTGAAAATGTTAACTATATTTGATAAATCGTGCGAAAGAACAACAAAAGAGCAAATCTATACCCATGTAAATAGAAATTTTTTCTAAGCTATCTCTGCTGGCACAGAGAATGGTATGAATATAATGTGCAGGAGCCCCTCTGAGCCCAGTTCTACCTTAAGAACTACGGAAGGACATAGGTAAAAAGCAGCTGTTGATGACATTCATAAAATCTCTTAAGTCTCAACTGATTCTGAAATAAACTGGTATGGCTTATAGTTTCTTGATCTTCTAATCCTTGGAACCAAAATACTTCGTAAATAAAAGTTGTCTTTCATGATTCCCTCAAATGTACTAGCTTTGATTAGCTAGTAGTATATGATATCAAAGAATATTGAAACTATAAGAAGTCCATTGTGAGATTTTAATAAGACCAAGTCCAAGACTTTTGTTTGATGCATTCTCTATGTAGAAATGCACAAGAACTTTTAAAGTGGACCTTAGTATCTTCCCTTGCACAAAGAGCACTGCATACAACAAGCAGTATATAAAAATCATACAACATTCCCAGGAAATATGATTACCTTTTACCCAAAACCTCAGCAATCAACAATTTGAAATACCATTGCCTGCTGAACACACAGGTATTTTACCGGGGTCATGAATTACAATGCTAATTGTCCCAAATATTTCTAGTCATTTGATGGGTGCCATAGGAACTTAAATAGACATGGTGGTGACAGCAATGTATGGACACTTGATTTGAATATGACTAAGGATTAATGAAATCTCTCCCTTGGCCACAAAGGTGACCTAGGAGGTCTGCTAGCCCAAAATGACCTGGTGGCTTTGAGATGTGCTGGTACCATCTGACACGACACAATAAAGATAGAGCTGCATGGAAAGTGGAGATAAGAGCTCCAGCATGCATTTTTGGCAGGAAAATTCACAACATTTCATTTTTTAAAAAAGACAATGGGCAATAATTATTATAGAGTTTAATTATCCCTTTGGGTTTCACAAAGAGCTAAAAAAAAAAAAAATGAAATAACCAGTCACCAATCCGCTACCTGTGGCAGCTGAAATATATTATAGTGGAATTTCAGGGCAAATATTGAAATGAGCATGTCCAAATTGTTTAGAAAAGGATCTTCACTCTAAGGAGAATTGACAGCATAGCTTTAAGAACAGATAAAGAACTGCCTCAAGGATCTGTCTTGCCTCCTTACTTTTTAAAAGTAATACCTTCATTTGCATAGTAATAACCCAATTATTGTAAGATTAGGTGACTGGAATCTCATTATTGCTATTTTCACAAAACAGTCAATATTCTATTCAATATCTTTTAATGTTATGCACCTTAAAACATAATTATTTCAATATACCCTCATTCATCTTTAATGTAATTTTCTTTTAAAAAAAAAAAAACACCTTGCCATAATTGTTGGGTTTGGGGAATATATTATGTTTAAACAAGCACTTTTCCCCTCAGGCTGCTATGAGAACAAGCAGAAGCAACTAATAGCTTGGGGGCATTTCTTCCTCCACACCCGCCACCCCCTCCCTCCCTCCCCCCCCCCCCCCCCCCCAGTTAGTCCAAAAGACTGAAAGCAAAAACACTGATACTGAAAATCTGTGGTAACAACCTCCATTCTCTTCCTAACACTGTAGCTTCCCCTCCTTCTCTTTCACTTCCTGCTCCATAATGAATTTTAGTCTAAAGCAACTCCAAAAGTGTTAGCAAATACATTCTGTTAAATTTCAAATTGTAATATGGGCTCTTTTCTTTTGTGTGTTTTTTACCCCCAGACCACATTGTAGTACCAAAAAAAAAAAAAAAAAAGCCACATCCTAAACAGATGACATATTGGGGAGACCATCTGCCTGCCATAGGTTTACCTGCCATAGGCTTTTACAGTTTCATTTACAAGATAATCAGCACAATAAGTGGCTGGTTACCAGATTAACTGTGGAAGCACAGCAAGGAAAATAGAGAAGAGAGAGATAGGCCTGTCTACATTAAGAGACTAGAGAGCCATACAGTCTATTACTTCAAAATGATATCAAAATTAATGTACAGTGAAAATAGCAGTTAGATTTTGTCATGAGAGGAAGTAATATCAAAGGGCTGTGGTTTGGAATCTGGAGTTAACACTCCATGACTGGGGCCTTACTGACTACATATTCTTCAGGATGTTAATCTCTCTGTACTTTGTGAATGAATACTCATTATTCATGACTATAACAATTTATAGAAAGAAGCACTATGTTCCTTAGTCAACACCAGCTAAGTTTTCTCAGGATGTAAACTCCATCAATCATTAACATGATTCACTGGTATGTTTCACAGGTTTTGATGCAGAGACTCTCAACAGGCATTAGATGCTCCTGGGAGCCCACGTGACCACAACCTCACCACCGCACACCCAAAACATCAAGCCACACTCACACTTCCCATTCTTGATTTTTGAAGGAAACAGCAAGGCTGGCCAACACCCTTCTGCATGTTTAATGAATTTTAGGGGATACTAACTCTGTATTTTGTCATTTATTACAACAATGGGGAAACCACCATTCTTTAAAATAAGTTGAGTGGCTACCAACAATTTTCCTCCCCAACAGAAAATGAATTAGCAACTTCCTGACTTTACTGGACTTCAGTTGCATGGTGTATCTCCTTCAAATCACAGGGCAACTCCTCAGGAACTACTGACAGCAACAAGAACAGGAGTCAGACATTTAGTACAGCTCCCTCCCCACTCCCCTTAGTGCAGAATAAACTCACAGGGCACAGTTTGAATCAATATCACCAGTCTCAGTTTGTGGTTAATGTAGAACTAGAATTCAGGTCTCCAAACTCCCATTCCAGAGCTCTTCCTATTTTGTCTCCCACATATTTATATTCCAGGTTACACTATGTTGATTAAGTGCAGTTATGTTTTTATCCCTCAGTGAGAAATATACAAACAAACAAAAAAAATGGTCAACTGCCCAGCCCGTGTGGCTCAATAATTGAACATCGACCTATGAACCAGGAGGTCACAGTTCAATTCCCTGTCAGGGCACATTCCCAGATTTCAGGCACTATTCCCAGTGGGGGCATGCAGGAGGCAGCCAATCAATGATTCTCTCTCATCATTGATGTTTCCATTTCTCTCTATCCCTCCCCTTCCTCTCTGAAGTCAATAAACATATATATATGTATATATGTATATATATATATATATATATATATATATATATATATATATATATATATGTATAATGGTCAACAACAACAAAAACACACCAAAGAGCAAAGTTTAAAGTCATCATTATACTATCAGACAATGCATTGTTTTATATTAACTATCAGAAGCCTTCTTTACTGTTGAAAAGCTGAAGTTGGAGAAGTTCACAAAATTGCTCAAGATCACAGAGTCAGGATTCAAAACTAGGTCTGTCTTAAAGAGAAAGCATGAAGACAAAGATTTCATGTACAATTTACTTTGCTTTTGGCCTGAAGTCTCCTAACCCTCTGTCTTTGCTGAACGCTCCAGACACCCTCTCACATAGGAGAGAGATTGTCCTGGATGAGAGTGACCCCAGACATCTTAGAGTCTCCAATAAACCATTCAGTCTCATGCAGCTTTATCTTTGGACAGGATATTCCCTTTTTCTGTAATGCCCTCACCTTCTTCTATTGCCTGTGTCCCTCATTACTTACCTACTAAACTTTCATTGATGCCTAAAATTCCTGGTCACTCCTTACCTGTTCTGTGAAGCCTTGACCTTTCCAACACCTTCCAGAAGAGTTCATCTTCCTTTTCTCCACTCCTTCTGAACGTTTAAAGCACATATTCAATTGTTGAATGTAATTATTAGTCTACATGCCATCACCCTGAAGAAAGCTTCATGAGGATTGGACTTAATGCATCTTGCTACCCACAGTAACTGTTAGCAATATACCTGGAGCAGAGGTGCTGTTTGTTCAAATGTTCAACTCTTACTGGATTAAAGATATCTGTCAGAATTCACTTATGGTAACTGTCACATTCTACCTCCCATGGTAAATTGCTGCATATGCCATTTCTACATAAGAAATAATGCATTCCTTGTTCCTCTCACCACCCCAAGAAGAGTGCCTTCTACATAATAGGTGTTCTGGAAATGTCTGTAGATATGAATTGCTTACAGAATTTAAAAATGTGGGGGAAGTAAAGGCAAATAACTAAAATCTCACAGATCGCTTTAAACCTAGTTGAGAAATAATAGCAAATTTCTCCTATCTTGGGTCACCTTCAAAGCATGAGATTTTATCCTGTGAAGAACAAGTGCACTGTACTTAAAAACTGGAT